AGCGCAGGTATGTATCATTTAGACGATGTTTACAGCGATTGAAGTATCGTAGCTCGTTCAAATGCATAAATCACGTTCACGCCAGAAAAATAATTTTTGGCGATATAAATATCTTTTTTAAGTTTTTTTAAGCAAACAAATTATTTAAAAAAGACAAAATGGCGAGTTCAGTCAAGTGATTACAAGAAAGTTCACTTTAGGCCCAAGGAAAGTGTTTTTTGGCACTTAGCGGCAACCCTCAGCGACTCCCGCTCACTCAGTCCTAACGTTGCTCAATGCTCTCTACTGGTGCTCCCGCTACTTTCCGTACTTCTGCTACGCTTTTGCCCTTTCCGGTTCGGCGTCGTGCTCGTGCTTGAGTTTCATCGCACGCGTCGGTGGTCCTCCGTTCTATCCTCCCAAAGTCGTATGAGCGCCCAGGTCGCCTCAACGCTTCAATGGAAGCGCGGCGACCCCTTCCTAGTCGTGAACGCTCCTCCGTCGTTCGACATGTCACACGACGCGAGAGTGAGATACAGAAATGTATATGTAAAAAAGATATTAAATATATGCAGTACAGTTAGCAATACACTATTGAAGAATGATAAAATATAAAGTAGAGTAATAAAGGATAGATAACTATGGTTGTTAAGAAAAATCGAGAGGAGGAAAGCCAAAGTGCCGAAGCGGACGATACGATCACGCAAGCAGCGGGACGACCTGGCCCACTAGATAGCTGGGGCCGTGAGTACAGCAAACTATTAGTAGAGGGAGGTCTATACAGAGTATACGTGAAACACGCTCTTTTTCAATAATAAAAATACAAAAAACATTGGTTATAGGTATCAGTACGATCTTATATTTCAATTCACTTCTCTAGTGTAGACCGCTGCTGACGAGAGTACGCCTTTAGCAGCCGTAAAGGAGTTGCGGGAACTCAGGTTCACGAAAAGGACCTTTACGCTAAATGCCACGTGAGTTGCCGTGTGGCACTGCTTAAATGACATTTACACTGAAGATCCTTTGGCGTAAAGGTCCTTTTAGGTGCCCGTCTGACAGGGGTATTAGTCAGTGCTGCACCTTCCCTTGTCTCTCTCTGGAGCTCATCCAGGGTAATGCTTTGGATGTGAGCTCGAACTTCACATATAATTTCAGCGTCTTTGCGATCACTTGGCTCCTCATGTTTGGTTGTGACTGGAATTCTTGAAAGAGCTTCTGCAACCACATTTTGGTCGCACCGCCGGTATTTCACTTCGTAGTTAAATTGAAGTAACCTTGCAGACCAGCGGGCGATGCACATAGGTTGTCTTCCTGATCCTTGCGTGGAAATTAATGCAACAAGGGCCTGATGGTCTGTACGCAATGTAAAATATCCTCCTAATAGGAATGTGCTCCATCTCTCGCAAGCCCACAGGCAAGCCAACTCACCGACTGAGTATCTTCGTTCCGTCTCAGATAATGTCCGTAAGGCAAACGCAGCCGTCCCGATGCCCTCTGGATGCAGTAGCTGTAAAATTGTTCCTAATCCGTAACTGGAGGCATCAGTCGTCACGATTGTTTGTAGGGTAGGGTCGAAGGTGGCTAGTGTGGCACAGATCTTGATTAGGTATTTGACCTTCTCAAATGTCTCTGCTTGTTCAGCAGCCCACGTCAACACAACTCTTTTCAGTAGTAGAGCACGAAGAGAATCAGCAATCGTTGCGTTGTGTGGTACAAACTTCAAGTAGTAGTACGACGGGAGTCCAATAAAGAAATGCACGGACTTAACGTCTGTAGGGGACGGCGCCTTACCGATAGCATTCAGCGTTCCTTCAGCTGGTTTGATGCCCTCTCTGAATAGATGATGTCCCAGATATTGTAGTTCTGTGGCCGAAAAGGTGCATTCCTCACTGTTGAGTTTCATGCCGCTTTTTTGTAAGCGTGTCAGGACTTGCTCTAGATTCTCGTCATGTTCTTTTTGCGATACCCCTGCAATTAAAATATCATCTAAGTAGTGGACGGTGCCACGGTATTCCTTAAGCACTGTCGAGAGCATCTTCTGAAAAGCTACTGCTGCTGAAGCTAGGTTGAAGCAAACTCTTTTGTATCGAAAGAGTCCATCGTGGGCTATAAGCGCAGTTAGATCTCTGTTCTCCTCGGCCAGTTCCATTTGATGACAGGCCGATGGTAGGTAAAGCTTGGAGAATACTGTCATCCCAGTCAGTTGATGAAAAATTTCCGCTGGATGTAGAAGTGGATGACTGTCAATGACGATTGCCTGATTTGGTTTTCGTAAGTCCACTCAGAGTCAAATTTCCCCCGTTTTCTTTCAAGCCATGACGATTGTAGAAACCCATTCTGATGTGTCGATCTTCTCGATCTCTCCTGTTTACCTTAGCTTCCGTAATTCATGAGGTACGAGTGCTGTCGGTGGCAGACGGCGAATTTTTTTTGCACCGGCAGAACAGTGGTTTGTGTTTTAACTCCATAGACAAAGTCCTTCACGACTCTCAAATCCTCTGAAAAGAGTTATGGAAACTTCTCTTTATACCGCTGAAGAGTTTGTTGATTTTCCGTGGATAATCGGTGACACGAGTGCTTTTCGATATCAACCGTCATCTGCAAGCATTTAAGGATGTCTAATCCAGCCAATGGTTTGCCTGACGTGACATGGAATGTGCAGATAGTTCGTCTTACCCCAAACGATACTTATGTCTCTAACATCTCCTGTACCTTGATCAACCCACTAGAGTAATTCCTAAGTTCCAGGTTAGAACGCTCGGGCTTGATGTGCCGAAAATGCGTACTGTATATTGTCGAAGATATGATCAAAACTGGCGATCCTTTGTCCACTTGCAACTTGACCTCTTAGCCAGCTATGACCATCTCGCAATACAAGGTGTCCGGAAGTCCTTTGATGTTCATTAGTCTTTTGACCTTGATGAAAGACGTGGTCTTCGCTGTAGTTAATTTCCTGCATGAATACTGACGCGAAATGACCGCGTGTACAGCATTTCTTGCATATCTTCGTACGCGCTGGGCATGAAGTATTGTCAGCTAAGTGAGCCGAAGATCCACAACTGTAGCACTTCTGACCTTGTTTTGGAGAATTTGCAGTAGTCCTTGTAGGAGCTGCAACCTCTGAAGCGCTTGTGACTTTCATGTCTTTGCTGAGTAGTTTAGACTCGCGCAGAGCTTGTTCCTCTTGTCTATATATGACGAGTGTTGTGTCCAGTGTTAATTCTGGTTCAAGCAAAAGCTTGTATCAAACTTCTTTGCTGCTGGTTTTCTCTAGCAGCTGGTCACATATTAAATCTTCCGTGAGTCCTCCAAACATGCATGTCTGGCCAGGCTCCGTAATGTCGCGACATACACTTCGACCGTTTCTCCTGGTAGTTGGGCCATTTCAAGGAAACGACATCGTTTGATTGACTTGTTGACGGCTGGCGTGAAGAATTTGTTCAGCGTGCGTACTGTGTTGTTGAATACTTGAATAGTGGAAGCAGCTGTCCGCAGAAGTCGATGGTTGAGGGTCTTGTGCGGCTTCCGGTAGAGAACAGAATACTCGCTGACTTACCACTTCAAGGCAGTTGAGTAGTATTGCCTTTTTTTCTGTGGTCTGAACAGGTAGTCGCTCCGCTCGCCAGCATGAAGGTCTCAAACAGTGAGTACCATTCTACCCATGACATTGTCGGTTTACCTGGAACCGGTAAAAAAGGCGGCGGCGTCTCCAGCTGCATTGTCGACTGCGCCAATTAGTCGTATTGTAGAAAAACAAACAGGCATGTACCGTAACTTAGTCACCGTGCGTGACGTCCATCCTTATGCTCTTTTCTTCTTCCTTTCTCACCCGTCAGTCCCCGTTCCCACTTTTTCTTCGACCAAAATGACAGCCTCTAAAGATGTCGTCTCTCACCCCTCGCATGAGGACCCGCAGCAGCTTGTCGTCTATGGCTTGTGGGTTGGCATGGGCGCTCAGAAGCAGGAGATCTTCCACGAAGCTGGTGACGCTTTCGTTGGAGTCTTGGGTTCGAATATAGAGAGCATCCTCTGCCCTCTCCCGCAGGTATTGTGTGGCGAACGTCCGCTGCAACTCAGCCACACAGATGTCTGTCCCATGACGTAAACGAAGCCTCGTGGTTCTCGAACCAGTGGCTTGCAGTACCTTCCAGCGATAAGTAGAGGTTCTGCAGGCACTGCTCCGTGGTCCATCCGTTGTGTCGCGCCACACGCTCGTAGTGTTGAATCCAGTCCTCGACGTGGAAAGGAGTCGGCGTACAAGGAGAGACAGGCAGGTAGACGATGGAAGGGGAGGCCGGGCTCTACTGGGACATCGTCGTCGTCTTGGTCTTCGACTTTTCGGATAGAAGTCCAAACTCAGGGGGCTGTTCTTGGGTGCGGCGGCTGGCTCGGGTTTCGGGCTCGCCGACGGGGATCAGCTTTCCGAGATTTGAAGAAGATCGAGCCCGACAGATTTCCTGAGGAGTACGTTTCACTGGCATAAAATGCGGCACCCCTGACTTCTACGAAAATGTCAGGAATGGCAATTGATGAGCCGATGAATGGCTGAAGGAAACTAAACGTCTAACGGGGCGAGTTTGTGCCCAAAATAAAATAAAAGGAAGATAGCGTCGCAGGCGTCGAGGTCGGCGAAACAGCAGGATCGAGCGCTGGGGCGAGACTGACTTTGGCTCGCCACGCCGAGACCTTTGCGTACACGCGTGGGCTTCTGGAACAATTGGCATAGAAGGTTCGGCGCGTAAAACATTCGGACCTCGAACAAGCAACCGTGTTCTCAAATTTACCAAAACGCGACATTTACAGAAATAACAAAAAGGTCCTTCCACTCCCAGGAATCGAACCGCGGTCCTTCTCGTGGGAGCCAGGCACAGCCGCGCTTGCTCGGAGACGAGCGTGACAATTGGTTATTCAGTACCGCTTTTGTAGGTGGAATTTCAAGACGTGTCAGAAGTTGTCTTATGTGCATTTTCTTACAGGCGACCACCCAACAGGAGACTCATTCCTTAAAAGCAGAACAAGAAATGCAAGAATGGAAGAAAAGAACAACTGCAGTGATCGTCCTGGTCGCTTTTTCCGTCTTCGTGACCTTCGCTGTGTTGTGGCTGTCGATGGGCTCCCGCGCTAAACTCTTCCGAACGGTCGCGTTGTCCTGGTGCACCGCAGACAGCTGCCTGGAACACGCGGCACGTCTCACCGAAAGCATGGACAGGACCGTGCAACCGTGCCAAGATTTCTACGCTTACGTGTGTGGCAAGTGGAAGCCCTACGCCGACGAGACATACATATCGGACGTCGCGGGTAGGATGAGAGCGAGTCTCCTGCGGGCAAACTCGATCATACTCTACAACGGCTCGAGTAGGCAATCGTCCTTCAAGAAAGTGTCCGCTACGTTTAAATCTTGCATTGAAAGAAAGAGCGAAGATCAGGCGTCAAATATCAAAAAGTTGAAGAAGTTCATGTTCGCTCGTGGCATCCCCTGGCCACAGGACCCACCAGAAGACAGACATCCCCTGGACGTCCTTCTGGACTTGGACATAAACTGGGGCATACCGGTACTCTTCAAAACCAGGCTTTTCAGCAACCCCTTGGTCGCGGTGGTCGTGCGTTCCAACAGCCTGACTGACGTTATTCTCGGAGATAAAAAGCTTCGGGAGTATTTCGAGGAAGGATCCGTGAAGAAACGAATGTCTGCCTTCTATAGCATTTACACTGGCGAGACACCGAGTGTAGGAAAGTTGCAACGGGCACAGGGTATCTATGTAAATATTATCCAAAAGGCTAAGATCGCCATCGTCGACGCGGAAGGTTTCGTGCGCACAAATATCAGCGACCTGCAAGGTCCGACATCAGCGATCAGCAACAGTACGAACACGTGGTTGGCGCTCCTAAAGAAACATTTTCGCATCTACAACACTTCTAATTTAAATGGGAGTACCGAGGTAGTCACAAATAACGTTAAACTTTCCGCGGTCGTAAACGAACTTATCGAAACGTACGCGTGGAAAGATATTCTTAGCGCCATCGGGTTTTGGTTCGTTGAACTCTACACGAGTGTTGCTGAGGACCAACTCCTTAAAATCACATTCGGTAGCACAGCCACCAAGATGCTGCAGGTGGTGTGCTACTATCAAATTGAACAAAGGTACGGTTCTGCGGCTATGTTAACTGGATACATAACTAACCGCTTCAAAATGAACAACCAGGACCGTGTCAACGATCTGCTGGCAGACTTAAAATACCACGTTTTGGCAGTACTTCAAAAGGACCAAACTGAGGGAGTGATCCACAAAGTGCGCAGCATCCGTTTCCGACTCTGGCCTTCGTCATCTCTAGAAAACTCGCTGAAGAAAGCTTTTCCAAGTATACAGCATGCTTACATTGACTTCTGGACGAATACCTCAGCCTCTGCAGGTAGCAGCTTGGGTCTACCGCTTTATGATGATCTGTACGGACTGCCAGGATTTCTCGACCCGTTTGTAGAGTACAGACCTCTGGACAACATTCTGACAATATCTCTTAATGCCCTCTCGTCGCCACTTTACTACAACGACGGCACCAGGGCGATCATCTATGGCGGTCTTGGATGGCAGGTTGCACGAGCCATCTTCAAATCGACTGAAGGCAGGGTAAGTTTTTCTTAGCCAAACTCCATTTCTTGCTTTCCTCTGTCCTTGCGTACTATGAGCAACTCATTTTGTCTATTTGGTTCAAGGAACAGTTTCTTTCAATGTGAAACGGGGTAGTAATGCTTGTAATAAGAAGTGAGGTGGTTCATCCCTTTCACTTCAAGAAACGCACTAAAAAAATAAAAAAATAAACATACAAGTTTCGTAACTGTTCCTTCCCAACAGTTGTGTGTGTGTGGCGTCGTGGAAGAAATGAACGCAAGTGCGTGGTTTTAATAATCGTTTCTTCCGCGTATAGACCTCTTGAGATGGCCACATAATTCGCGCTCAAGAACTTCGCTCTCTCGCCTGTGCCTTCGATAGCGTTGTACGCAGCTTGTGAAACTCTTAGCAAGTATACTCTCGAAATTGTTGATTCGAATAAATCGCCGTTCTCAGCGGGTAAAGGTTAGATTTAATTTGACTCCAACGGAACAGATGTTGGGAAGTTTTTTGCAACTTTGTGTTCCATACCTGTTTAGAGAAATGTAGACGATTTATTACAGTAATAATTTCTATAGTCATTTTAAGCACAGCTCTCACATGAGTGCGTTATGTCAAGCTAGACAAGTCAAAGCATCTGGTGAAACCAAGTTGCACTTAAACTTGACCGACCGACTCACACCGAGTTGCATCTTCGTAGTTAACCGAGTCGCCGGAAGATGTGGCATAGATAGTGGACCAGCTGTTTAATTTTGGGCCCTTAATTGATGCAGGGTGTTTGCTACTCCCCCCCCCCCCCCCCCCCCGAAAGAAAAAACATGTTACCATTTATTGCATTTTTTTCTTGTACTATTGTACTGATTCAAATTATTACGAGAAGGCTGTGGCGTCTCAGGAGAATGATCCAGCTTTGATATATTTAATAACCTAAATGGCGTGAGGTCGCGCCAATCGGCTCGAGCTCTCGCCCGCGTCTTCTGCTATACTCCGAGCTCGCTGGCTTCCGCAGTGCCAACGAGGTAGAGGGGCTTAGAGCAATAAACCGGGGTTCCGGTCTGCACTCGAAAGTGACCCCCATAAGGCCCCTGCCATTGTACGCAAATTAGACCACTCGTCACGTGACCAAACCAAATACGTGATGTCAGAGGAAAGATGGCAGCGCCCAGGCAGCGGCTGGCCCCAGCTGGGCCGGAGCATTGACCGGAGCTTGTCGGATGCTTTGTTCGTTGTCGTTCGTCTCGGCGAGTTGATTTCAGTCGCGGAGGCCGTCATATGAGGCCGGCCGAAAGCGACTTCAGAGTTCAGCATGGTGTCTGACGTAGGTATAACGTGAAAATACGGAGGAACGGTGTGCATTTCGCTGGTGACCGACGGGGATATTGCCACGGAAGAGAATTTAAGGCGACGTTTCTGTGCCCTCGTTGATCATCGGAATCTTCGAGGTCTGCCGTGAAGCGTGTGCAATATATTTGGATACACAGTTCAGCGACGGAAATTGCGTGAGTCGTTATTGGCAGTGTGCAATCGTGGTGCCGCTTCGTTCAAATGACCGAAGGCTCACTTTGGTTGTGCGGCGCACCGGAGAGCTGCCTTGAAGCTGGTAGTCCCCGTGTCGTGCTAAATGATGCTGTGCTGCCTCCCAAATTGTTCCGGCGTAGACGTGCACTTTCACGGAGCACAGGTGTTGCAGTTGGTTTTGATTCCGCTGGTCTGTTGCACGTTTCATCGACAGAAACATTTCATCAACACTCGTTACGCGAATTGCAAGCTGTATGGACATTTCGTTGCCCGTGTTACCTACCCAGTCCACCCGTTCACGCCACTTTGCGACGACAGTCAGCAGCGGCTTATTAAAAGAAAAGTTGTCCCACGTCCATTTCAGTTCAATTTGTCCACGGCAGTCGCCAAACCCCGAAGGAGAGGATTTACTCGGACAGAATGCCACTTAAGCAATGCAGCTTCTTTAGTGGTCAGGATAGACTCTCTTCTGTTAGTGTTATTATATTTTCATGGATGCTTGCTCCAGTCCTATCTTCTATCAATATTTACTATTCTGGAAATTTCCGTGCCATGCTCAGGTGTCATTGTATGTTCTGGTGGAGGTGCTGGGTACTTTACCCATAGCCCTTCACTCTGTGTGCACCCTGGCAGCTCCTCAGCCGAGTTGCCCGATAACTGGACACGGGTGGCGGACTATCCCGCGTTTTAAACCCCCGGCGAGCCGTGAACCAAGTCCTATCCCGAGCGCGGCAGAAAAACCGCAAGACGAACCAGTGCCACAAGGACGAACCTCGGAACTTGAAATCCGAGCCAGTCGCTGCCACCAGCAAGAACCCCCTTAATTCGGTCTTTTGCCAGTAAAACCGAAGCTGCCTAAGCCAGAAATGACAAACCTGTAGCAGCATTGAACCGCATCCGTTCCCACCATCGTTTGTATGCCCTTCGCACCTCACACACCGACGCCCTTTCACGCAAGGTGTATGAAGACGTTGAGGGCTGGTTTAAACAATATGACCGTGTCGCCCACCACAGTGGGTGGAGAGACAACCAGCTTCTGCAGAGCCTATACCTCTCGTGGAAGAAACTGCCAGGCACTGGTTTGAGAACCACGAATCCTCCTTAACGTCGTGCGAAGTTTTCAAGATCGAGCTGAAGTGCACGTTCATCAGCCAACATTAACGAGAGAGAACTGAATTCTTGATTCTGTCCAGGACACGGCCCCAACAAGAGCGTCGCCGCCTTTGTGTAGGATGTTTTGCGCCTGATCGAGCACCCACGCCAACCCTGATGCTACAGAAGACAAGAAGATAAGAATTTCATGTCCCTCATGTGAGGGACAACACATTCGGCAGCCTTGTACGCAACCCCATGACAACAGTCGAAGGGTTCATATTACCCAGGCTTCCAACATTGAATGTACACTGCACGCCCGAGCCTGTCACTATCAACAACTCCCCAGCGGCTCGACGCTCAAGTCGTCCAGCTGCAACTTCGACGCCAGTCTCCCAGGCATCCGCGACATCCACAACGTTGTCCGGGAGGAGATCAGGAAGCTACTTCCTGCCATCAGTGTGTCGGCTTTTTGATTACCAAGATTGTTTCGGAATAAGTTCGACAGGCATTTCAACCGGAGACTTCTTCGAGCGGAGCGGCCTCTGACGAATAGAGCGCGACTTATGCCACAAAGTCACGACGACCGCCACCGGCTACCCGTTAGTATTCAATGCCGAATCAGTGAGACACCCCAACGCCGAAGCATTCCCGACATTGGGTGTAGGTCTGCGCGGAACAAATTACACAGAGAAAAACGGAGGTGCTGCGAATGGTCGACCGAGAACCACTCTGCTACCACTGCATGAGGCCGAACCATGTCTACTGGAGGTGCCCGTACCAATGAGTTGGCCTGCAAAGTGCGGGCCGAACAACCCTCGACTAGGGTGCCTACATGTTTCCGCTCCGCGGCGGCGGAAACATGTAGGCACCCTACCCTTGACTACATCTCGAGGAGCGTCCGCGGGACATTGAGGATTATCTTCGGCGGTCTTTGACCCTGATGCCGACATTACCCCGAAGCTCCTTATCCCCATCACCTCGACGGGAGGTAAGCACGACTAAGCAAGTAAGCAGCAATGCAAGGACAGTTGATTTGGTGTCGGTTGTCGTCCAAGGACAATACCTAATAATTTGCTGACACCAATTATCTGTGTCCACGGAACGAAGCACACGATTTCCAACTTTGAGGGAGAATGCCGCTGAGTGACTTGAAGAAATAGAATGGTTGGTTGTTCTCAAAAGTGGATACCAAGCATCACCCGACTTCACTTTGCCACACGAGACTTACACAAGTTGCAGTAGTCGCGGGATGCATAAAAAATCGCCATTACAAAATGGGAGTGCAATGGCTTGGATAGCAAACACTGTTGCCGGCCATCAAGTCAACGGCACAGCAAAAGGCACAGCCACGTAAGCAATACATGCCCAAGCTTGCTGCATTGGTGCAGAAAACTACCAGGAAATTTTGCGGATTAGAAGCCAGCCCTGCAGCCAGGGTTGCCAGGTTGGGCTATTAATAGCCAAATTACTTTGTCATGCATTTGACGTCGAAATTTGTCAGTTGGCTATGTGGCTATTTTTGGGCTATTTCAAATCCTAACGGGGCACTTTTTTTATTTTTTTATTTTTTGCTTGACTTACAGTAGATGTGCAAAAATACTTCAGCATGGACACAAAGCGACAGTCCACCTCTTCTGGATTCCCGCTTTCAGGGATTTACTGCATGAAGATTCGTGGGCGTGATGCCATAACCTGTTAGCTCAAGTGAGCTACCGTGACCTAGATTAAGCTCCGACGACATCGCTTTTGTATTAATTCTGGCTTATTTTATGCTCCCAAGTTCTTTCTGCTTCCTACTGGCGTCTCTTATTTCCTCGAGTTTCCCACCATCCTCCTACACGAAGCACCTCATCCGAGAAAACATTATACTAAAGGCAGCTCAAAACATCGTGCAGAATTGAATGTCGTGAATGGCGATGATCTTCGTAGAACAGCAATACGAGGTCGGGTCTACGACGCATAAGTAATTCTAATTTTCTAAAATACGAGCGGTATAAGAGCCTTACATCATTCGTCCACGTCAGGAAAGTGTAGGCAAGTAACTTAATTCTGAAGCCGATCACCCAGGAGTTAGGGATAGTAGCTCCCACACAGCGGTACCACCATCGCTGAAAGTTGCGAGATTTGGGACAATGAATATTCCGACCAAGGCCAAGATCGATGCGCACGAGCAGCCCTGTTTCCGTCGCTATCCGAGCTTGCCTTCGCGCCCCCAACACTGCCCATGTCGAATGCCGCCGTGGAGAGTATTCAGTGACGTCTCCCTCACAAAGTCAGGCCTAAGGAAGAACATGTCCCTTCCAACTCTTCAAAACGTCCTCTATGTAAAGTTTGCTTTCCTTGGGCAAAACGGATGCTATAAGGACATCAACCCTACTAATGACGTTTTTGCCCGTTTTAACACGGAAATCATGCATGAGGCGAGTAAGCCGGGCACGACCGAGTGCTTCATAGCTATATGTGACTGTAAAAACGCGTGTGCAAAATTTTTGTACTTTTGTGCTTGAAATAAAACGTTCAATACATTACAAAATGTTCTAGATCTTGCAAGCTGCTCCTAAACACAAGATATGCAGACGAAGCTCCTTCTAATTGAGCTCGCACATTCGAGCGCACGATATTTTGGGCTCTCCAGAATATGGCTACTTTTGGGCTACATGAATCTCTTGCATTTGGCTACTTTTGGGCTACACCGTCTGGCATTTTGGCGGTTTGAGCTAGAAACTACCTGGCAACCCTGCCTGCAGCTTCAGTGCATCAGATATCGGTGGTCACACATGACGTACGATTACAAGACTGCATCAGTCGGTCAAAGTTGCCACTCGACCAAACTGAACACCGACGTGCCAGGAGGGCCATCCGACAAGGAGCGCAGATACTACGACTGAACGCCTGACACGAGACTGTCGCAGAAAGAACTCGTTATGGAACCGTTTGCAAAGAACCAATAATTATGTAATCAAGTGGAAATAAACATATTTGATACACAAACTAAATAAACATATTTCCGCTCGCCTTTACGCCTTTAGAGCCTATACACAAAGAATTGAGTTCACAGCGCGTGCTGGACCTATTGAGGACACTCGCCTCTCTGACCCCTCAATATTAATTAATGGGACATACCAGACTGGCAGATTGGTTGCATTGGGCTCCACTCGTTCGACTTCTTCTGAACATGTGGCGCATCAGAAAACCAACTGCAGTGATGTGAAAATGTTGTTTATTAATTTATTCCCTCCAAGGTCCTCTGTAGGCATTGCAGAGAGGATATTTAAACTACATACAAGATAATAACATCAAAGCACACTGACATTAATGAGCAAAAAACGGGCCCAGCTACCGAAAATAAATATTACACTCGTAAGAAAGAATTACTGCTGCAACTTGTTGATTGCAAAAAAAGAACATACCTCTGAGCATCTAGTTTAATAGTATGTGTCGATGCATTGTTATATAGCAGGACACTTCCTATAGACCGACAAGCTGTTTACAAACAAGCCCGCGTTTTTTTCACACCAGGTGTGCGCGTGCGCACAAACCAAATTCGCGTGAAGTGAGGCGTCTGCGCATGCGCAATGCCGTCGACAGCGCCACCGCAGCTGCGTGACGTCAGGCCCGCGTGTTGGTCTATAAGCATGGCACAATAGACCCTTTTGCAAAACCCCATCAAACAACACAACTGTCACCATTTTTTTTCGGTGTAAAGCACACGAATGGGCCCCAGTTCACGTCGAACGCTAATGCAGCATTCGAGTCCAATAGGAGCTGAGCCAAGTTCTCAGTGATGGCTGACATAACATTCTTGTCGAACAAATGCCTAAAGCATGAAGGCCTTGGGTAATTAAAGTTGTAGCTACTGTAATTCATTTCATCACAATTTGGCAAACAGCGAAGGTCTTGGTCAGTCAGTATGCACGTTGGAGAGAGGCACATGGCAACATATCATCAGAGTGCTCATCTGCTCATATCTGTCACACATCTTCACTCCGTCTCTCTGATTGGCTTGAGGGGGCTGTGGCGGTTGCCCTTTTCTAAGTTACGATAAAACAAAGTATAGGCGGCCCACACTTTTGAAAAAAGTCTATTGAAGAGACCGGAAGGGATGGTAGTTAACATTTTTCAACAAGACTGCTCTTCGGGCAAGGGATGAACACAAATGTGAGTCATCTCGTCCAGGTAATGCGAACAAGTAAATAACACACCGACTAACACAATGCACTCTTGATGAAAAAAATTATTGCTACAATAAATCCTATGAAAGAGAAAAATGTGCAGTTACTCTTCTATTTCCGGGTTGCTTACATCTAACGAACTGCTGATAAGTGTGGTTCTATCTCTGGACCTCTAGGAGTGGGGCTGGATATTTTTTAAAGATTCTAGATGTTAAAATGATGGATTAGACAACCATCATAGAGGAGTATAATTGTACACATGGAAGTTACTGTGGATTATTGACACCGATCGCCAAGGTAGTCTACTAATACAAATTTCTAAGGGACATCGGATGCAACATTTCGTGCACTGATCAATCAAAAATGTGAAGACTCGCTGTGCTCTACAAGTTCCAAGGGGACAAATAAACTGCTTTATGAACATAACTAATGAACTTTTTTCCGAATGATTGGTTCGAATGCTTTGTAATAGCTTGCGTGCAATTCAATTAAGCAAACGCCAGCTTTTCACTTTAAAAAATTATTGCAATCCAATGTAGAATCGTCGATTAGCACAAGGTTAAAGATCGGAGGAGCTTCCTCACTAAAAGTTGCTATGGTTATTCGATGACGCAGGTCTGAAACAACTTCCCCCAGGCCCTAACGCGGCGTATACCTTTCGTTTCGATTCTCAGACATTCCAAAGTTCAAACGAAGCTAGAAAAATGCAAATATTTTATGCTAAAAGTTATGTTGTAAAATTGTTGATTAGCACAAAACGTAAAGATCGCAGGAGCTTCCTCGCTAAAAGTTGCTGTGATTATGCAGTAGCCCAGGGGTGAAACAAATTCCCCTAGGCCCTACGTCCGACGCATACTTTTCGCGTCGATTCTCAAAGATTCTAACGTTCAAACAAAGCTAAGAGATTGCGAAAATGTCATACTAAAAGCACTCATCGATCCTCGAACACATCCGGGACTCCGAGCACCGGTACGGCGCTACAGCTGATGCTGTCTCACAGGTGTTAATATCCAGATGATAAAGAGCGATCTTGCGCAAAAAGGGTATAAAGTATCATTCCTTCACATTTGCACATTATACCTGTGTCAGCGAGCACAGGTATAATGGGTTCACAACTGTACTGGAGCGAGCGAGTGTGTGGCTTCGAAAAGTGCCCTTTACGCGAAAGTTCACCAACAAAATCGTTCTGCTGAACTATACTTTCGCGTTCGTTTCTGTCTGTATATTGTAGACATTTTGTGAGGAAACGGAGAGAAACTCGGAGAGAGAAGGTAAGAGCGTGCGGCAACGTCACCGCGCCGAACTTTGATTGGGAGGATAGTGACTATACTTCGTTTCACCTTAAGTCCGAGCGCCTCCGGTGTTATAAGCGGAAGGGCCAATCAAAGGCGTAAAAAGCGCAACGTCATGGCGTGCTCTTTGCGCTTGACAGGACCAGCCGGCGGAGGAGCAAGCAGAGAGAGACGGCGAATACCGGCTGGTCCTATCAACTGCCGGGAGCACGCCATGAGGTGTGCCTCTTTCACTGTTTGATTGGCCCTTCGGCTCATAACATCGGCCGCCCTTGGACCTAAGCTGAAACGAAGTATAGACGGAAAGGCAAGCTTCCTTTATTTTTACCACCTGTCTCTCTCCAATCAGGGCAAACAAGAGCGTTGTCTGTTCACCACAGAGGGCCTGGCTTTCGGCGTTCGAACGCGAGACCTTCCGTTTGACCTTCGGACGCCAGACTCTTTTCGAGGAGCAGACTACGTTCTTGTTTGCCCTGATTGGAGGGAGTCAGCAGCCTATCATACCCACTATCCTTCCAAACAGAGCTCGGCGCCCTGTCGTCACCGAACGCTCTCCTCTCCTCTGCTCTCCTTTAGTTTCTCTCCGTGTAGTTTCGGCTCCATTGAACGGCCTCGTGTCTCTTCCTGTCCCAAGGCGTGCAAGAAGGCCTGCTCCGACTCCCATGGCCTGGAGGCGTCCTTCGCGGCGTACAAGGCTTCACTGTCGATTTCCGAGAGCCGCGCCCTGAGCATCTTCGACAGCCCCGTTAAGGCGGGAAAGGTCTTCTTCCTCAGCCTCGTGCGAGGAACCTGCGGTACTTCCGGGAAGCACATCAACGCCATGCTCAAGAAGTTCCCGCCTTTCGCGAAAATATACGGCTGCGCCGCGACCGGGAAGAGCCGCCGATAGATAATATGGTCAGGCTGCTAATGCTTCAGTCCCACTAGAGCGGCAAACAGAAACAACCGACAACGACAAACCCTGAGCACGTGCAGCATGCACGCGAAGGTATATTTAGCAGGCTTCCAATCACTCGTTCTTACTTCACGAACACCGAGAGATTAAAACTTGGAAGCCTACCAAAGTACCTTCGATGCGTGCTGCAAGTTTACGAGGTTTGTGGGTGTCGCTTATTTATGTTTGCTGTTGTAGTGGGGCTCGGGCCCCACTACTCGTGTGCCTGACAGACGTTACGGAGTTTGTTTTCCCAGCTTACGAGCTAGGACACTTTCCACAGTCGCTTGTGTGGACTTCAACAGTGCTGCGCGTAACTTTCGAAGAGGAGCGACGACCGTCAGAGTGTGGAATGTTTTCACCTCAACATTCGCGTCCTCGCTTTGACCGATTGATAAGGGGAACAGTAATGTTGGATTTATTCATTTCTTTTCTCAGTCTGTATCTCGCAATATATTCCCTGCGTGCAGGCGGAGGACACGGCGCACAAAAACCTTTTTGGAGAAAGGCGTCGTACTATGCAGTGCATAATATACGAGCCTATATTTTTGTAGAACACAAAACTGGGAACATAGTGATTTTGCAAGAACACGTTAATGTGGTAAGGATTGTTAAGGAAATAAAAACTCTATTTTTATGGTTAATCTTAAAGCATTGCTCTTCACAGGGGTTTCTACACTGCTTAGTTCGTACAGCCGTTAATAGCAATGTCGACAGTTCAATCTACAATGCGATTCTCGAATCTATTTCGGCCTTCCCTATAATCATAACGAACCTCTCACCGTTAAAACAAAATTACAAAAACAACACGCTAGTTCTTGCACTGAAGTGGAACCCGCTTAGCCATAGTGAAAAACAGCGCAAAAAAGTTGGGAAGCAAAGTAGAGTGTATGTCCTGTGCCCCTCTACTACTTTGTGTCCCATCTTTTTTGCGCTGTTTTTCACTATGTCGTTCAACCAACCAGCCCAGCAAGCTACCCTGTTACCGCTTAGCCAAATGTAGTCTTGTGGGTCATGTCGCGCCATGCCTTCCAGTGCAAATAAATATTTTGCTATATCAAATTTTAAACTGACTGTGTGCTCTGAAGCAGTAGCTTCGAGTTTCAAGTCTATCGATTTCACTTCATACAAGAAGAGAGGGATTCCTGTTCCTGGAGAGAATGCTAATAGAGATGTTTAGAGAAACGTTTTTGCCCATTCGATATGGTACGATGGGCACTCCGGTACGCACTGCGCATGTGCGAGTCTTCTGTGGTAGCGCATGCGCAGTTCGTACCGGAGGGCCAATCGTACCGTATCGGATGTGCAAAAAGGGTACCCTAAAACTCCCTAGTATAGTCGGTTAAGAACTAGTAGTGGATAGATGTTGATCCAGTAGGCATACGGTGCCCAGAATGCGCCTCCGACGTTCAGCGTCCTATTTCGCCCATGCATCGAAAGTGGTCCCGAAGTGGCAACAAATGACGTCACAAAAGCAGGAGTGTGATGCTGTCAGATGTTGTGATCGTGGCGGCTTGTCCTAGAAATGCTGAGGAAAAGCACGAGCGAACGCGAGTGTCGCTGTCGTCGCGGCGTCCCAACTTCTGGTTGACAAAGTTTCCGTGGACTGACACACTAGAGAGCGACCTGCAGAAGAACAGGCGTCTGCCACATTCAGCACCGCTGCTGAGACACCGCCAGGACCGCAACCGGCGACAGCATGACACTTCTTTGACGTCATCAGGCAGAAATCGAGGGACCACCTTTTTTTGGACGCGGTACACACACCAGTCGGAGACTCCTTCCAGGCATGATAGCACGAGTCAGTTGCCTTCCGCCAGGCTATAGATGCTTTACATAAGCTGTGCATGGGCGCCGCCATAACCGACCTTCGATTTTTATTTCCACTCGTTACGTTTACTTTACTTCATCATGACCACAGCAGGGCAGGTTATTGACATATTAGATTTTGCTGTGTCCCTCTCCCCCGCATTGGCCTTTCTGGAAGCTCGTTTCTGGAAGCTTCGCTGGCTCGGAATCTGGGTAAGGACAAAAGAAGGTCACCAATGGCGGCTGCAATCTGGCACCTGTGCATAGCGTCTCTAGCTGCGTGTGCGACACAGTGTTATCAAAAGCAGAAAGCTCACGCTCGAAGCGGAGCATCTGCTGGTATCCTAAAGGGCCGCCCACACTAGCGAGAAAACGCGCGTGGCACGCCGATCGCGGCAAGTAACAAAATGTCGCCGAAGCACAGTCAGCGCCACGAGCGCGTGCAGAGACACGCCCTTTATCTTCCCGCTTAACCGATTTATCGGCGCGCCGGGCGCGTTTTCTCGCTAGTGTGGGCGGCCCTTAAAGGGGTATTCACGCGAGGGAAAAATCCCGGGGATTTCTCCCCGGCACGCGCATTCCACGACGAAAACGTCAGGCTTTGCGATGTGCAAAAGCCTCGTGTTTTTATATCGTGATGCACGCGTGCCGGGGAGAAATCTCCCGGGATTTCTCCCTCGTCTGAATACCCCTTAAGGTGCAACCCCACCCTTAGTTAGTGTGATCCTGAACCAACAGATGGCTATGGGATCGGTTTTCAGACCTGTACACCAGTGCAAGAAATCGTGTGCGGTGGCGCTTCGATACAGTGCGGTATTTTTCTATATCCTCAAATTGACACCCCTGGTCGTGTGCTTGTTTTCCACTGCGCGAGCTTTCTGCAGAACGAGCACGGCTGTGTCAGTTCCAGTGTTGCGGAGTTGCCACTCCGGAGTTGGAATGATTCCGGAATCAATCCGTATTTTCGCGACCCCGGAATGGAATGTGAATGGAATGGCGGCAACGCTCAGGGGAATGGAATGGGAATGGAATTAGATGCCTTGTGTCCGGAATGGAAAGGGGAATGGATTGGGCCAGGTTCTTTACTTATTTATTTATTTATTTATTACGTTCAGCTATACCGAGACAGTCAGGGAGTCGGTTGTTCAGAAATAAAATGAGCAGGAAAATGCGAACCCGCTAAGGCCCTAGCAGACTTATGCGCAAAAGAAAGAAATGCAAAACAAAAAGCAAGCGTCAAAGCAAAGAACAGAGGGGGGAGGGGAGGGGGGGGGGGGGGCGGTGGCGCCTTTCACCAGTGAAGTTCAACACATATCCGAATGCGTCTGCGCCTGTAATATTGCACGGCTGGTACGTCATCAGCCGACGTGAACGTGACCTGCTGTGGCCTCGCTGTGCGGACCCAGGCTTCGTACACTTTCCAGTCGTCTCGAGCGCACTGTTTCTCGAAGAGCTCGCACCTGTGCCGGCAATCTCAGATCGCAATCCACGAGACCTTTGTTTGAATAATGCTAGGCGAAACTTGAAGACTGCCATTCATGCGTTGGAGGCGGAGAGTCGGATGCTTCAGGTGGTCCACTTTTCTCGAAAATTCCAAATGCAACTGCCTGCATGGTCTTCAACGAGGTCAGCTACAACGAAAGTATGTATTGTCCTTTCTTACAGCACCGTGGGTAAAGTTTCATGTTCAAGGCAACACCTACAGATTCAAGAATACTAGTTCATCCCACCGTGACGTCATGTGATCAGTGCAGACAGGGGCGCCCTTATTGGACAGGGAAGTTGTGACGTTTTGATGGAATTTATTTTAGAGGTCGAAGTCTTTTCGCATCACTGGTCAGTCAGACAAGATGCTAAAGAAGGGACCGCGGTCAATCCTTGATGGAACGTTTTTTAAACCCACTGAGGACTCTTCGTCCGGAACCGCTACCTTCAAGGCGAAGTGCCAAGCCTGCGGAAAAGTAATTTCGGGACCAAAGAAAAAACAAAAAAACTTCCACTTCAAACCTAAAGCCTCATCTCAGTTGGCGTCTCAAAGAAATTTGAAAAATGTATTGTATTATCAGTATTTATATTTCTGCCCTCCCTAAAATGTATTCTTGTATTTGTATTTCCAAAGACTTTTTGCCTCTTTTTAAAATGTATTTCCGATACGTATCACGATACATTTTTATAGATATATTTGAGACTTGAGTATCATTATTTTAGTTACTAGTTTCATCTATCCCAGTATTTGTATTTCCAAATACATTTCTGAACATTTATGCCCAACCCTGCAACGTATAGCAGCTGTCAAGTGACACCTTTAACGTTTAGGAATTGGAGGAATGGAACAGAGCGACTCAGCCATTCCAGGAGTGGGAATGGGCCCAGTGTCCCCATTCTTAGGAGTCGAAAGGAATGGAATTATCGAAAACTGTAATTCCCCGGAATGGGAATGGAATGGCCGGTGCCCATTCCGCAACACTGGTCAGTTCTCGTGCAAGGGAGCCCGTTGCCTACGCTCCGAGCTCACGTCTCCAGCAAATGTGTTCAGAACTACACCGCGGTCAGAACAAACGAGCAAATTGTGCTAAGCTAATGGCGAGACACATGCACAACAAAGCAACCGACGCGTGTAAAAATATAAGATTGCATGTGTGTAATTAATACTCCGGGGATTTCGGAGTTCAATTCCCCATATTTCAAAGTGATCAAATTTATATGGCGCGCCGGCCCTTTTGTCGTGCATGTGTATGGCTCTTTGTGGATTTCCAGAAAAACGTGATGACGTGATAGACCCGGGTTTCCAAAATATTAGCTTGAGGAATAAATACAACAGAAATTAAAACAAATAAACTACTGTAAACGACTTATTTTTCGCGGGCTCACTATTTCGCGATTTAGGTCAAAGCTGAAGTTTTGGAATAATTCGCGGATTCTTATTTTCGCTACCGTGGTGGGATCTCAATATAAATTTCAATGTGTTTACATATTAGCCGAATTGTTCACGAGACCTATTTTTCGCGAATTGTAGGATATTCGCGACATTCGCAAAAATTAGGTCCTCGCAAAAATTAAGCCGTTTACAGTATTTTTTTTTTCGGTCAGGTGTATCGTTCAGATAACTTGATGTATATTTTGACCAAAAACCATACCAGATTATA